CAAATCACAAAACCTATGTTTATGGAATTTAGGAAAGATTTTAATCTATATATGTTGGATTAAACCATAATTCTTTTCGACCATCTATCTGAACCCGGATACTCATGCCTATACATACTTGTGAATAATCTAACAACATCATAAATTTAAAGCAAAAACGGTTGTCCCGCCCTCTATAAGGGCGGGTCAAAATCTAGTCTACACCTTAAAGTTCTATTTGATTAAAAGTGCTACTTTTAACTACCTATAAAAATTGTCAATTGAGTTTTAAATGGTTATATAATAATTGATCTATATAGTATATCATAATCTATATTATAAAAGTACACTTCTAAGACTCCTAAGAGTATCCACGTCACCAACTCTCTTTTTCTCTAATGGGCTTCAAAAATAATTACTTTCAAGTCAAATTTTGCTTTTAACGGGCCAGCACCAGCAGCTCCACGCTGCGGAGAAAACCTTAGAAACTTATTCGTCCTGAGACTAATCGAACACAAAAGATACAGAAACGCCATGGAGCAATCCGTCAGATCATCACCTTTCAATCCCTGACGACTCATCTTCTTCATGATCGCAATCAGATCGAACGGAAACTTCGCGACGACTTTACCGTCGAAGACGACGAAGAGTTTCCTGACCAAAAACAAGTATCATACTGAAATATTGTTTTCAACTCCGATCGTGGCTGATTCGAATTCCGACAATCCTCTTCTGGGATTCGATCATGATGAATACCATTTTCGGAAAGCGTAAAACTCTTGCAGGTTCTTCCAATCCTTCTGTCTCTTTTGTGAAACATTGGATTTGTTTTTGTGGAGCTTTCGATTCAGATTGTTTGATCTCTACTTTTATTGGGATCAATATATTTCTGCTCATGATGTTTTTTTTTTATAGTTTGGTTTTGGTGTTTCAGAACTTCTGCGGGAAAACAAGAGGATGCTTGATAACTCAACCAAAGAGATCGAGAGGGAGAGGCAAGCCCTTCAAACACAAGAGAAGAAACTTATCACTGAGATTAAAAAGACCGCAAAGCAGGGACAGATGGTTTGTTTGTTTGTTTCTCTATTATATATTTTACAAAAATCTTTAGCTCTTTTGTATCTTTAGTTAAATGTATGTGGTGATACTAAAATAGGAGCTTAAAAATTTATCTGCTAGGAGTATTTCAATGTGTGCTATAATGAAGTGTTTGGTTGGCTTATGCCTTATTTTTAGTGAGTTTTTATTCAATAGATTGTGCTTTTTCACAATTTTGACTATAATTGATTTGGTTTACCAAGGGAGTGAAAGTGATGGCAAAGGACCTTATCTAACACAGCAGTTTTACAAGCTTAAATCCCAACTACAAGGTGTTTCTCTCAAAATCCAGGTATGCTCGACTTCTTGGTTTTGGTTATTTCCGTTTCCAATAACACCACAAACATCA